ATCCTTTTAAGAGCATGGTTTCAAGTTCATTTCTGTTGCCACAGGCAATTTTCTGATTCCTACTTTTCTGTCACTCATTTCTAATTATTTTTCTAAGGTTTGTGTTAATTTACCAATTTTCCTAAAATTTATTACTCTACTCTGTCAAGAGAAGTAGAATAATTTATCATAATGCCTCCTATTGATTATATTATGCAGATATTAGAATCTATTTATTAGAAATAATAAAAATGAAGGCATAGTGTAAAAAAGGAAGCTGGATACACATGCCCTGTAAAACAGGTGTCAGGTAAAGATTAGTTACTGCAGACCACTCAGAAGGCATCATGGTTGAAAGGACCATTTAAGGTCTACAGCATTTTAAATAATGATTAAAAAACTCTGAGAAATTTTGCCAAACGAGCCAAACTACCTCCTTTAATCTGCACAGGAATGTTATTTTATATATGCTTCACATGCCCACACACAGATGCTCACGTATATCTAGGTCACAACTTTTTTAGGAATGAACAGAGCAAGTTATTGATTAGCCCAGTAAATTATTTATCTTCATTTTCTGAGAAGGCTTTGCCATTTTCTGCTCTTCCTGAACCTTAAGACAACAGTTTGCTCAGCCTTGACCTATCCCATACCCTTGTGCTGTGCTAAACAGATGACTTGCTGAGGTTGAATTATACTAAACATCAGAAATGCAAAAAAAAAAAAATCCCCAAAATGAAGCCTAAAGAGGTCCTGCACCGTGTTTTATGTGCCAAATCACCAGAGCGGGGAATATGGACTGAAACTCTGAAGCAAATTTAAAATGACCTCCCAGTTATGTTATTGTTCAGAGGGTAGATTTGCTTTTTGGAAAGGAAGTTTCATTTCAGGATGAGACTCCTGAGACTTTTTGTGCCCATTTCTGCTCAAGGACTATTGAACCAACGTGACCAGTTGCACTAAGAGCAACAAAAGAAGCAACAACCCCCCCCTCCACCCTGTGTCCCAGAGTCCTCTTCAGCAGCAGCTCTGTTGCTCACCTGCAGTATTTTGGAGGTTGTTTTGGATGGTCCTAGCCTTTAGAAGCCCAACTGATGGATCAGGACATCACTGTCCTGAGCTATGTATGATGCAAAAAATACAGACCTTCACTGCCAAATCTGCACAGGCAAAACAGATGCTTTGGTGAGCGGCTGCAATGGCAGGGCACATTCTGACACTTAGGAAGCTGCTCGATGTGCACAGAGGACAGTGTGCCGAGCAATCCACACCTCCTTACGGGACTGATAACACTGATGGCACAGAAGTACAGGCCAGATGTTTGGGCAAGGTGCATGTTTGGTCCTGCATGAGGCAGCATGGCCTGTTTAACCTCACAGAGCTCAGCAAACAGCTCCGTGTGTGCTGGAGGAGCCTGTTGTGTGCAGGGTATGGCAGCTCTCCCAGATGCCCTGCTGGCTGCACACCCATTGCTCCCTGCACACGGTGAGGTGCACTGCACTGTTAACATCAACACATAACATCCCTGCTGGTCAGAGGAGAGGATGGACAACTGCAGACTGAAATCCGGCCTTTCTGCCTGCTCTTAATGGCACTTGCCTTTGCTGGAAGGTTTCTCTCCCACCCGAAGAGGATCTGCCCTAAGCCTCGAATTATTCTCACCAATACATGCTGCCTTCTATTCACACCTGGCCCATCATCTTGAACCTGGTGCTGGATGTGCTCCAGGGCTGGGAGCCTGCTTTGCTCCACTGGAGGCTGCAAAAGCCTTGGGGCAGCTGCTCCCACCCCCCAAATGCCCTGTAGGTGCTGAGGGCTGCCCACTCTGTCCACTGCTGCCCGCGCTTCCCTCTCTCCCTGTTCTTCCCCCTCTCCCTGCTCCTCCCTCTCCACCC